TAGCTTTTTTTTATAAATATGATAAAATAATAGTTTTCTTCCAAATTTATTGTACAAAAGTCTCTAATAGTTTCATTATGTACAATTTATTTTGTTGTTTAATTTTTTATAGTAATGTTATAAGTATTCCCTCAATATACAAAATATATTCTTATATATAACTGTAATTACTCAATTTGCATATAACAAGGCACTGTAAGATTTGTGTATACAATAAATGTTCCTCATATTCATACAAATATATTAACGTATATAGGTATCAATGGTTAAAATAAAAGGTAAATATATAGTCACCTAATATAAAACAATGTTAATAATTAAGCCATAATTATGATGGTGCATAATACATTAGAAGGCTGTCTTAGTCTATATTTTTAAGCTGGTATTCTTTTAGGATTTAAATCATACATACGACGCATGCGTTTTTTCAGTTCCTGTGGAAATTTGTCATAGCATTTTTTACAGGCTGGTTTCAAATCAAATTCAAAAAACTTAGTTTTTTGATTCATCTTTTGATCACAAAATGCACACGCAAAGTGATGAACACACCATGCTTTGTTTAAAGCCGTGAAAACTGGAAAATTTGAAATATATAGTATACTTGACTATTTTATACTTTTTTAAATTATATTATTTTAATATTTTCAAATCAAATAAATAAAGTGAAATTTAAGTAATTATACAATAATATTCTTACCATCGCCAGCAATTACTTGATTACATACAAAACATAAATTTCCAAAAAGTTGATGATAGTGTGTTTCACAATAAGCTAAACCTTTTTTCTCATAATGTCGGTGACCTAAAAATGGTTTTTCACATTTTGCGCAAACAAAATGTTCAACATGCCAGTGTTTACCTAAAGCAGTTACTACGCGTTCCTCTATTGGACGCCGACATGCACCACAAATTGGGATCCCCATTTTATCATGACATCTCAAACAATATAATTCATTCTAAAAATATTAATAATTAAAATAAGAGCTATCAATATACTGTAAAGAATAATACATAAAAATACTATAGTCATAAATAAATACCATTTCATTAGCAGCATATCCTGGTCTAGAATTAACTTCTCTAGCATCAGAATTAAGTTCTATACCACAAGCAGTACAATTAAAATGGTATGGATGATAGAGCTCGCCACGAAAACGTAAAGGCTTGTCATCAATTACTCCACTAAAAATAGTACAATATTATAGGTATATTATGCCATATTTAAATAATATATAAAATTATGTCAAAACTTGCTAGTATCATATTAAAATTTAACAAATTCACTGTTAAGCATATTTTAGTTGACTTTCTATTTATGTCATTTGAACTGCTATGCATTATTAGGGTATATCATAATATATCAATGTAATCATTGTTCAGATTTTAATAAGTATAAATATTAATTTGTTTCCTAATATTTTTATACTTTTTTTATTATTATTAAACACAGTCATAATCTTGCAAATTGTTACTGTTGATGTGTTTCACCTAATTTTATCACCTAAAATGTTTCTGCTGTATTTAAAATTTCATAAAATTTTTTCTACAAAAGTTGCTTAGTTTTATGAGGGTCATTGTATAGTAATAATAGTTTTATTCTTGAGAGGAGTTAATAAGATACAAAAGTCAACTTCGTTTTTTTAAATAGAATTCTACATTTTTTGTCAGTACTTCAGCCATTTTAAAAATGAATTCAACAATATAGGGTGAAGTGAAAGACATAGTGTATCAAAAATCGTTATAACACAATAGGACCTGAAGAAACGAATTATTACAAAGTGTGTACGCGACTGTCGTCTACTGAAATAATTCAGCACGTTATCTGTTCAATGACTGTGCGATATTTAAAATGTATTGAAATCAGCAGCAAGATTTTAAACATCACCATTGAATTTTGAAATTAAGTAAAAGGTCGGAGATTAAGCAAAACGTTATTTTGCAGTGGCACCAAAAATTAAATAGAAAATTTTGTTTGTACGACCTTTAGTGAACTTGAATAACTTATTATTGTAGATCATTGAATTCGTTTTTAAAGTAGGTATCAGATACGACAAAAAAATATAGAATTCCATTTTGAAAAATGAAGTCGACCTTTGTATCTAATTAACCTTTCCCAGCAGAATAAAACTATTGTTATTATACAGTGGCCTCCATGAGACTATGCAATTTTAATAGAAAGCATTTTTATAAAATTTTAATTATAGCAAAATATTTCAGGTGATAAAGTTAGGTGAAATACTCTGTATCCCAACATGTTTATGGCATAAACAGAGGACTCAGTGTTGGTTACCAATAGTAATTGCAATGAATGTGTTGATTATATAAATAAAATAAAAGTTCATACTGGCATTGATGACAAATATATTTTCCAAGTGCTCCTGCCTTAACACGTGCATTACATGTATGACATAAAGCTCTACCCTGGCATTTAATAAACCCTGCATCAGCCAATTCACCATTGCACTCTTCACAACGGAAACATCCTGGGTGCCAATTGGCGTTCATTGCTTTTATTACACGACCAATAACAAATTCTCCTAAAAAAGAAAAAAGAATTTTTTTAAATGTTAATATTTAAAATGTAATGCATAACATTGAAATACTTTATTTAATTAATTAAAAAACAACTTACCACATTTTTCACAACATGGTGCAAATAAAACATGAAAATCATGTTCACAATATTTATATCCTTCAAATTCATAAAATATTCCATCTGGGAATGGACGAAAACATTGTGCACATCTAACAAAATATGTTATTACAATTTTTTATAATTAAAGATAATGAAGATAAATCCTAATATTTAAATTTTAGACACCATAGATTACTATTTATTAAAACAATGTATAATTAACAACATTTGAATGTTTAAGGTATATACTAAATACTAATAATAATTCTATATTCTTACACAAAACATTGAGGATGCCATAATTCTCCATTTGAATTAACAATCTTTTCATGAGGTACAAAACCTTCTCTACATCGAGAGCAAAACATATTATCCAAAGACATGTCTGTAACACTTTTGATAATTTACATTATTAAGAAGAGGAATTATTATCTATTTAAAACTTATAGTATATACATAATTATTTATAAGAAGTTGGTATGACAA